CTTCTGTGTCTGTGTTAATTGGTTTCCCTTTTCTTTGTTGAAGAGGGTCTGTGCAATCCTTCTGCCTAGTCCGCCATCTTGCCCCGCCCTCTCTGGAAGTAGGATTCTTAAGGTATTATTTCAAATTATGGTTTTATTTTCATAGTGACTATTTTAAAATTTGCTATTATTGAGAAAACATTTATGAATTGAATTCCATGTTATAGTTAGTAGGGAGGCTTTAAAAATTGGCAAATTCTTGAGTTTAATACTTGTAATTTCATATTTAGAATTAATTCTGTTTCTCCACATATTAGGTATTAACTCCACAAAAACTGGAATTGTTAACAACCCAAATACAACAAGAATTAGAAACCCCAATGAGAGAGCGTTTTCGGAATCTGGATGAAGTAAGTAATTTATTTAGAAAAATAGTGCATTTATTTTCATGTGTCTGTATGGCTTTATCAAAAGCATCATTCTCCCACTCACATACCCTGCAGTATCTTCATTTCTTACTGAGAGTCCTAGTAATGACCTCTGAGGCTCTGTATGATTGGGCTCTATCACTTTTATGACCTTGTTTCCTTCATCCGCATTGGCCTCCTTGATGTTTCTTTGGTTTGCCAGATAATGGTGCAAGTCAAGAGCTCTTGCTCTAGCTGTTACTTCTGCCTTAAACACTCTTCTTCCTGATGTCTCCTTGGCTAACTTCCTCATGTCTTTTAAGTCTTTGCTAAAATGTTGCCTTCTCATTAAGCCCAACTTTGCTGCCCCTCTCCTCCCAAATTAACATTGCAAACTGTCTTTTTTCTCACTGCTTAAACCTCTGGATCCTCCCTTAAGTTGCTCTGTTTTTTTTTTTTTTTTTTTATCTTTTGTCTAGTAGTGCTCATCTCATATGCTTTGTAATTAATTTATTATGTTTATGGTTTATTTTCTATTTTGTTCTCTTTAGAAAGTAAGCTCTGTGAGAGCTGAAACCTTTACCTGTTTGCTCATTTTACACCCAAAATTTCTAGAGCATATCCTGGCATAGAGTAGTTTCTCAGTTAGTATTTGTTCAGTAAAAGAAGGAATCTCATGCAACCTCAGAAAAGTAAAAACTTGTTACAGTTTTACTTCAGGTAGAAACCAGTCTCCTTATAAGAAGTATAGGTATATGACTAAATTTTAATATAAACCGAAAAACCAAACCCATGTTGTCAAGTCGATTGCGACTCATAGTGACCCCCATTGGGTTTTCAAGGTGGTAAATCTATAGGAAAGTAGATTGCCCAGTCTTGCGTCTGCAGAGTGGCTGGTGGGTTTGAACCACCAACCTTCTGGTTAGCAGTCAGATGCCTTAGGCACTGTGCTACGTATTAGGTACATTTTATATTTTTTGCCTTATTTAACAAACATACCAGGCTTTTTACGTACAAATGAGTATTGTCCCTTTCAGAATGAACTCCTTTGAGAAGCTGTAGTCTAGTGATGTTGCCATTACAACAAAACAGTTGTATACTACCTCTTTTATAGTGACTTACTGAGTTGGTCTGACTCGACGGCACATAACAACAACAACAACAACTGAGTTGGTAGCATCTTTTAAATATACTTTGTTGTGGCAAAGCATTGTACTTGGGAATAGATTTCATTTTTAGAAATAAAATCAGTCATCGTAAAGGTAGATGATCAAGCTAAGTAAAGACATTAAAAAAATAAAAATCAAAGTGTGTCTCTAATGAAATCATGAAACCCATTTTCCTGGTTTGTGAACTGGCCTTGAAGAGAAGAAATCTTTCAACCAAAAATTTATAGGGAGCTGAGTATTTTAGGAGACATACTTTTCCCAATACCTAATTATGGATGCATATGGAAAATAGTATCTCTCCTGCATCTTTCTGCTCCATTGCCCAGGTGTAATTGGGTATTCAGAATGTCAGGAGCTTTTGTGGAGCATAGGAAGCAGGACTGCCACACTCCAGGGATTGCATGTGATCCTTTTTCCCCAGGGGAGTTGGCACTACATATATTATTCAGGCAGGTGTGTTAAATTGAGTTCAACTGTCACTGTAATATTTAATTGAACTTTAAGTTATTGTACTGAAAATTAAAATAATCTTTTGTCTGCTTTGAATTAATCTGGTCCAACTTTTGGGGGTATTTCATACTTTATCATAAAATTATTTTTTTCATATGATTATATTATTTTGAAAGATGTGCTGCATTCTTAAGTGTTACTTCATTAAGCCCACTGGTCAAAATTTTTGGCATAGTATACATTTTATTTAATGAGATTCAGTTGAAGAGATAAGCTTAATTGAATAGTAATTTATTGTATTGGTACCTTCTCAGAAATGTACTAATTCTGTATGTAGGATACTTGTCATGAGATTTTTTCCAAGGTACATTAATGTTCCTGTGAAACTTCTCTGTTTATTTATTTAGAATGACTCTGGATATAATGTAATTTAAAATTACATTTGCAAAAGTGATTTTTCAGAATCAACACAGATTTCATTTATAAATTTGTGAAAAATGGCAATCTTCTTTTAATTTAGGAAGTAGAAAAGTATAGAGCTGAATATAATAAGATGCGTTATGAACATACATTTCTCAAATCAGAATTTGAACATCAGAAAGAAGAATTTGGACGTATTTTAGAAGAAGAAAAAATAAAATATGAATCAGAGGTGAGTGATTGATTTTACTAGTCTAGATATTATTGTTCTAGTCAATAAAATTTCATGATTATATATTTTTGTAAATCCAAAATTAGAGTTGATTGTATCATCATTTTTATTAATTAATGAACTATTTGTCAGAGTTTTCCTCTGCTCTGTCTATAGCACATTTTTCTTCTGAATGTTCTGTTTTGGTTGTTAGATTTTTGTATCACTTTCTTCCTTTCTTTTGCCTCAGCCAATGGAGATGGACAGCTGTGGGGATTTCCATCATTCAAAGTCTCTCCTCTGGGAAACACTGCAAAAATAAAAATTAAAAAATGAAAAATTAAAAAACAAAGTCTTCCCTCTGTCATAGCCACAGGGACAGATTTCTCTTTGCAGATATAGTTTGTGTGTTTCCTTATTTAGCACTTCCCCCTCTGCTTCTTGGAACTAAACCACATCCAGGAGAGCTCTAGCTACCAGCTTATGCACCATCTTTCCACTGATATAATAGATTAGGGTGTGCCAATCACCTTGTTTTTGACATCTGCACCTGCAACATTCACCCCTACTCTACCTCCACTGCTTTTGGCAGCCTTTATATTTATTTTGTGGGTTGTCTACTAGTTTTGGTAGAAACTGAGCCTTACGTTTTTGTTTTCATCTTCATGTTGCTTTTTGGATGATTTTTCAGGATGGAAAGAGAAATACCAATTTTATCCTTCCATATTCAAATCAGAGATGTAGTGCTAGTTTGAATTTCTGAAAAACAGTTCCATGTCTAGCTATGTGATACATTCTGTATACAAACACTTACAGACTCATTTATTCTATTATTGTTATTTGGAATTAAGACTTAAAACATACTTACCTTACTTTAAGAATTACTAAATATTGGGGAGTGCACCCAAGAACATCTATAGGGTTGGCAGACAATGGTCCTATAACTTTATGTGTATGATCTGAATTCCCAGTTTTATAATGGAGCTGACAAGGGGCAAGGTTGTAGTCACTGCTTGGTCACAGCCAACTACCCAGAGGGACCAAGTAGTTGAACCTGTGGGCTCGGGACCATAGTCGAAGAGGACATCAAGCTCGATTGGCATAACATACTACACAAATCATTGTTCCACCTCCTACTGTGGCAAGTAGCGACTGGGATCTTAAAAGCTTGCAAGCTGCCTTCTAGATGCAATGATGGGTCTCTCCTCATCCAGAGCTAAGAAGATTGAAGAAAACCAAAAATTCATGGAAACAATTAGTCCTTGCGACTGGTACACCATCTAATGCAGCCTCTACAACTATGAGACCAGAAGAACTAGATGGTGCCTGGCTACTATTGCCAACCACTTGGAATAGGATCTATATAGGACATCCTGGATAGACAAGGAGAACAATGTGGAACAAAACTCAAAATCATTTGGAGAAAAAAAAAAGGGGGGGAGGAACCAGGTTTGCTGGCCCAATAGAGCCTGGTGGAACCACTGAGACTATGGCCCCTAGCTGCCCTTCAGGTCTGGAATTGAATGCATGCCTGTGGCTCCCAGCCAAACAGTAGACAGGCATATGAGTTGAACATTTACCTGAGGTAGATACACTCCTTGGAGAGAACAAGCATGGGAGAAAGAAGGGCTGCTTATGCACAGGGAGACAGTTCAGGGGGCAGGAGTGTATGGAGGGATGGACACAGGCAAGAGGTAACTATTGGGGGGAAGTAGGAGGGGAGATGTTGCATTGTGGTAAATTGTGGTCAATGTCATGAGACAAAGTGTATGTGAACTGCTGTATGGAAAGTGTGTTTGCTCTGCAAATTTTCACCCAAATCACAATAAAAAGAAAAAAAAAAGAAAAAAAGGGATACATCTTATTTTTCACTTATCCTTTCCTGCAACAAAATGTCACATACACATAATTTGAAAAGATCCCTGTTTTATATGGTTTGGTTTTCAAAATGTAAACTGTTACAAATACAACATTCCAAAGGCACAGAAAGAGTAAAGATTAATAGTATTTTTTTTAATATATATTTTATTTTTTTTATTTATATATTTACAGTGTTCCCTCTTCTCTCCTCCCCTCTCATCCCTGGTAACTAACCAGGAAAGTTTCCTTCCATGTGTAAACTTTTCCTTGACTTTTTACAATAATGAACTAAAAAAAAAAAAAAAAGAATTACTAAATATTTATAGTGTTATTGGCATCTCATAAAAAAACAAAACTTTGTTATTTGAATCAGACTGATTTACTCTCATCAGTGAGTAAACTATTCCATGATAGATACGTAAGAAGCTGTATGAACTTTCATCATTTGAGTTTGTTAACAGTATATGTGGTAGTTAAGGTATGTGTCTACTTGGCTAGGCCTGGTTTTGAGTGGATGGGCAGCTGGATGTAGTTATTCCCCTTGGTGAGATTGGTAATCATCTCCGTGGTGGAATCTACTGGTGCAGCAGAGTAGCTGCCTTAGGGATGTGGTCTGCTCCTAGTATATAAGAAGCAGTTTTGAGGAAGGTCTCTAGTTTTTGGCACGCTTGGACCCTGCATGTAGCCGAGTCTTCATTTAGCAGCCTGCCATGTTTCTTGCTGATCTTGGAATTGTCTCTGGATTTGAACTAGTGGCCTGCCATGTTGTTTGGTAATATTGGGACTGTGCCATTTTATTTGTTGACCTTGGGTTTGTCAGCCTCGGCAGCCAGCAGCTGCCTGAGTGAAGAGATGCCTCCAGCTTCAGTGGGGCGGGAGCAAGAGGCAGAGCTGAAGCCTAGAGACAAGGGGCTTTCACCCAGTTCTAGAGCTTGGCACTTTGAACTCAGACTTCTAGCCTCCAAAATTTTTAAGAGAATAAACTCCTGTTTGTTAAAGCCGTCCCATTTGTGGGTGTTTCTGTTAGAGCGGTACTAGAGATAACCAAAACAATATATATAGTACCAGTAAACTATAAATATTTGTAATAGTCATTTTCATTTTTAAAATTCTTTAGAGCTTTAAATGCTTCATTTGTATATTATCTCACTTCCATTTTAATAGTGAGATGAGTAGGACTATATTCATTTTCTTCATTTGTAAACGCAGAAACTAAGGTGTAGGATAAGTGACTTGCTCAAAGTCTTAAGATAAAAGTCAGCAGCCAAATTAGTAGAACTCAGGTATCTCAGCTCCTAGTCCCGAGCTCTAACTGTTCTGCTTAGAGAACACCCAACAACTGTAATTTTGTCAAGAGGTCAGTTGCTCTGTACTACATTTGATTATTGAAGGCTTGGAATCTGTAATTATGAGACTTAAAGGCATTGCATGTAAAACATTTTCTTGTGAAAAATAGGAATGATAAAGGTTGCCAGTCTAAAATGAACATTTTTAGAGAGTAACTACTGAGAAAGTTACTATAAATAATGTGTGCTTCATTTTATACTTTGCCTTTAAGTCTATTTATCTGGTAGCAATCATTTGCATTCTCTAGTTTCTTTGTTTTGTTTTCTGAAAGAAGGAAATCTGCATCTTAAATCTGGTGACTAATCTTTTTCACCCATGGAAGACCAAATGATACTCATTAAAATTTTAAGGGGTCAGTAGCATCATTAATTTTCATAATTGGAATATCTTACGTTATTCTTAGGAATCTGAAGTTAAACTGCCACCTAAAAAGTCATAATTAGTAGAGGCCAGAAAAGTAAAAGTTTCTGATAAGATTAAAGCTCTTTTCCTTCTACTTCCTAATTGATTATGAAGGAACATTTTTAATTAGTGGGTAATTGGGAATTTGCTTTAGTTCCATCACTTATCGTTATACTCCAGTTTTTAAACACAATAACAGTAAAACATCATGAAGTGATTGTGGAAAGAGCAGAAAAATGTCAAAATGGAGCCTTCTTTTGCCACTTTCTGATTTTATAGTTTAAACTAGTATAAAATAATTTATTTTAATAAAAATGATTTGAATTTCTTGCATTAATTAAGGACTCATGCTATACTTGTGCATATTTACTTCTACAGATAAAAGAAGTAACTGAATATTCTTCAGTGGTTTGGTTTTTAGGGAAATAGTATAGGACGACTTTGTTAGTGTTTTCCTGAGAAGCACTATAGGAATTAACATCTCCCTTATGATATTCTGAATTCAAAGCAATATATGAAACAATATATCTTTATTTTATGAAAAAGGTAAAGCCATGATTTCTCAATGCATTTTCTCTAAATGTTATTAAGCCTGTGACTTTATAAAGATGAAATTCTGAAGTTATATGCACATTTACACATTATTCAAAAGTGGTACTATTATTTCCCTTGTTATTAGAACTTTAATTCATTATTTTGAAAATAGTAATGAAGAACAATACAGGGAATTTTAGGTATAGGTAATTATACTGGTAAGGAGCCCTGGTGGTGTAGTGGTTAAGCACTGAGTTGTTAATTGAAAGATTGGTGGTTCAAAGCCACCAATAACTCCGTAGGAGAAGGATGTGGCAGTCTGCCTCCATAAAGATTACAGCTTTGGAAACTCTATGGGACATTTCTACACTGTCCCGTAGGGCTGCTATGAGTTGGAGTCAACTTGATGGCAATGGGTTTTTGGTTTGTAATTATACTGGTAGACTGATTGAGTGAAAGAAGCAAGGATAATTCAGTGGAGAGGTATTAAGATCTCAGGAGAAATGGTCAAGGAACACTGCATCATATGAAAAACCATGAAACTGACAATGTATAATGACAGGTCAATGAAATTCTTCTATCAGGCTCTTCAAACAAATTAAGTTTTCCCTTGGCTTTTGTGTATGTCACTGTGGCAGGTGAAACAGCAATGTTCCCATAGCATAAAGGAGAACTTTTTTGGGTCCTTGTTACCACATGCTATTTTTTTTTCCTTACAGCACTGGTAGCACAAAACTGATAGTGTATCTGAATTTGGTTCTTATTCTGATACCTGTATTAGTTGTTGCTTATTGTTGTTGTTGTTGTTATGTGCCACCAAGTCAGACCTGACTCAGCGACCCCTCCTTGGGTTTCCAAGGCAGTATCACTACAGAAGT